CTTTGGACTTTGTGATGGGACAGCAGCCCTGGCTGACAGCCTGCCTGCAGCCTCATGGGAGACCCAGAGCCATCCATCGAAGCCACTCCCAGATTCCTGACCCTCTGAAGCTACAAGAGATAATCAGTGTTTGTCATTTTAAACTGCAAAGTTGTGGAGTAACCTGGTACACAGCAGTGGGTAAATAACACATGGGCATAATGCTATCTGCCTTGGAGGTTTGTTGTGAGGATGAAATTCAGGAAAGCACTTTGCATGGTACATGATGTGTGTTGAAGGCTGTGTGAAATGTAAAACAGCGAGAGCGTAAAGCAGATCATTGACAACTCCGAGGTCACATAGCAAGGGGGTGACAGGGCTGACGATCTGTGGCTCCCAGATGCCCAGTGTTCACCATTTGTGTCCCCTGAGGCTTCATGACCTAGGTGAGCCCCGAAGGCTTTGCCAGAAAGGGAATGGAGGGACTAGGGGGTGTGGGGGGAGCGGAAGATGCGATGGTGCTGGTGACTGTCCTGGGCCTCTGGGAGGGAGAGCAGCTGGGCTATGTGCAGGGGGTGGGGCTGAGCACAGGAATAGTGTCTGGGTGCATGTGTGTGCGCATGGATACATGCGTGTGCATGTGTGTAATGGCATGTGTGGACGTGCACATGTGCAAACACACGCAAGCATGTACACTTGTACGCACACACATGTGTATATGTGCACGCACACGTGTGTGTGTGTGCTCGTGTATGGGTGTGTTTGTGTGTGTGTGTGTGTAGGTCACCTCTGAAGACCCTTCAGCCCAAGAGAGGCTGATGATCTGATTCACTGCTTGTTTCTGGGCCTGCTGTCTGTGGAAGGCTCAGAAAAACCATGGCAACAAAGAGATAATTAATGAGCAGGAATGGAGGAGACCAGGAACTAGGGCATCTCTGAGGTGAGAGAGAAAGAGGCCCAGGAGGAAGGTCCACTGGGGCTTGTTTCCCTGGCCCTCATGAGGCTTCTTGGCAGCGAGATATCAAAGGGGGTCTGAGCGACAGGTAAGCCCCTGGGCCTCCAGTTGCAGCATTCCAGGCAGCCCGGGTTCTCAGCCCCCAGCAGAGGGCTCCCTCGGGTCGTCTGCTCCCAGGTCCTGGACCTGCTGACGATAGAGGCATTGTTCCTGAGAGGCTGCCCATGGCTTCCCCCAGCTTCTTAGAACCACGGAAAATTCCTAGATATTACTCATTGTAGAGACAAGCATAATGGAGGCACAGAGAGGTTAAGGAACCTGCCTCAGGTCACACAGCAGGCTGCGACAGACTCAGGCCTGGAATCCAGGCCTCCTTGATGAGCACTGTCTCCCAGGGTGGAGCCTTTGGCGGGTGTCCTCGGATGCCCTGGTCCAGAGGCCTTCTGTGTGCATAGCCCCCTCTGGCTGGGAGACCTACTGCCAGGAGAGTTGCCCACCTTTGCTCCCTGCCTGGAGCAGATGGGCCACCCTCTCACCCCCATCTTATCTACCTTTGCATTTCCACAGGGAATAACTGGAGAAGACAGTTCTGGGGGAATACAAAGTCTGCTAAGTTTGAGTCTGGCATTAACATGGGCAGCTGGGTATCAGGTAGGTTGGAAATAGAATCAGAAAAAGGGTCCCTGGAGGACTTCTGGTTGGCAACTGTCTCTCCTGGCTTTTCCCTGACCATCCATCTCAGCGATGTCTCCTCCTAGCCAGATCCTGCCTGCCATGTACCAGGAACATCTGAGAGAGAGTGTTCTGGGAGGTTCCAGAATGTAGAAGTGGGTTATAAGGGTCTCAGTTATGTACTCCATCACAAAGAAAGGGAACTGGTGTGTATCTGGAGAGCCTGCTGGTACAAGGCATTGAGTGAGACCCGTGTACCACCCTTAGCTTCCCTTCTCATCACACCTAGGGTATGAGGCCCCGTGTTACAGGCGAGGAAGCCAAGACTTAGAAACTCTAGGTTACTCTGCCAAGGTCACCCATCTTCTAAGTTGCAGAGCTGAGATTTGAAATCTAGATCTGTTTAACTCCAAACCTGGCCTATTTCCATCTCTCATATCTCTCTGCATACCCTCTGCACCCACTATGTCCAAGCACTAGTTTGGATAATGGAGACACAGAGGTAAATGGACTATGGGCCTTGCCCTCAAAGCACGCACAGCTTAGAGAGTATAGTAGCTATTGCTGTGATGTTAATGCTGCGTAACAAATATTCACACCCCCCCCCCCCAATTTCAGTGGCTTATAACTCTAAGCGATTCTTGCTCTTGCTCGCAGTGGTTGGGTCAGCCGGAGGGGCTCTGCTTCAGGCTGCAGGGTGGGTCCAGTATACTTCCCTTGTCTCCATCTCCTTCTAACAGTGGCTACTTAATTCTGCTTCCATGATTGGGCAGAAATATACAACATCCTCTAAGGCTTCATGCTGAAATTGGTGCACTCTCCTGCTGCTCAAATTCTAGGGCAAGTTACACGGCCAAACTCTGCACTGATAGGGCGGGGAAATTTTCCTTTTTTACTTAGTGGGAGGCACTGCAAAGTCACAGGGCAAAGGCACAGACATCTAACTTTCTAATAGGGAAGCAGGAAGAAGAGGGAACAATAATCTAATCATCTTCTGGGGGAAGACAGACAGGCCTTTGATGATAATACTGCACTGCATTTCATCAAATCTAAGAAACCATCAACTGTAAGACACACCATTAATTTATGTACCACCAAGAAAGAAAAGTGGCTGCCAACTGAAGTATGACATGATGCTTTCTCAGCTCACTGTATTTTTTTTTATTCTTATAGAAAGAGCTATTTGATACTTACGTAGACATGGAAGTGACAGCAATATGAACAGTTTTGATCAGGTTTCCTCCTGCACGGGCTGTGACAACTGTGTCACCACAGCCATTGTCCAAGGAGATTGTGAGATGCCATGGATTGCAAGACACAATCTGTTTTTAAATATGTGAAAACATGTGGGTCTTAGAATCGATGAAATGAATTGCTTATTCATGGTGAACATTTGTCCACAAATGGACACTGTGCTAAATAGTTTATGTGGATAAACCACTTGTACCTTATGACAACCCAAGGGGCAAATATCATCTGCATTTCAGAGATGAGAAGAATAAGGCTCAGGGTAATCAGTAGACAGCATATTAAAAAGCAGAGACATTACTTTGCCAACAAAGGTCCATCTAGTCAAGGCTATGGTTTTTCCAGTGGTTATGTATGGATGTGAGAGTTGGACTATAAAGAAAGCTGAGCACCAAAGAATTGATGCTTTTGAACTGTGGTGTTGGAGAAGACTCTTGAGAGTCCCTTGGGCTGCAAGGAGATCCAACCAGTCCATCCTAAAGGAGAGCAGTCCTGGGTGTTCATTGGAAGGACTGATGTTGAAGCTGAAACTCCAATACTTTGACCACCTGATGCGAAGAGCTGACTCATTTGGAAATCCCCTGATGCTGGGTAGATTGGGGGCAGGAGGAGAAGGGGACGACAGAGGATGAGATGGTTGGATGGCATCACTGACTCAATGGATATGGGTTTGGGTAGACTCTGGGAGTTGGTGATGGACGGGAGGCCTGGTGTGCTTCAGTTCGTGGGGTCGCAAAGGGTTGGACATGACTGAGCGACTGAAGTGAATCAGTTGTCTTGCCTACGACTCACAGTTAGCAAGTGGGGGAGCTGGGATATGAACCTCCAACAGTCTGACTCAAGACAGAGTGGTTAAGAGGCAGACAAACTGTATCTCAGTTTCCCCACCTGTAAAATGGGGCTGCTAGAAGTAACTACTGCATAGGTTGTGAGACATCTATTGAAAACAGAGTGAAGCATGGAGCACTCACAACATGCTGGTCATTCTGACAGTACATTTTGCCCTTCTGCAGGAAACATCAGTATAACAAAAGTATGACTGAACTAAGAGCTTAGGGATATGGGAGCCCAGAAAAGCAGACCAGTAGCTTAATGATTTGGGGGGATTGTCAAATTAGATATGAGAATAGAAAAAAAGAGTGTATGATCCATGCTGCTGCTGCTGCTAAGTCACTTCAGTTGTGTCCAACTCTGTGCAACGCCATAGACGGCAGCCCACCAGGTTCCTCTGTCCCTGGGATTCTCCAGGCAAGAATACTGGAGCACACATTTATTTACGCAAACACAGTTGTTTAGTACACAGTGACTGAATCTGAAGCCAAAAATTGGGGGAGCTAATTTTTAAAATTTGAGTTATAATTTATCTTACATTAAATGCATAGATATTGACCATTCCATTTGAAGGTTTTTCACAAATGTGCATGGCTGTGTCACTGCTGCCCCGATCACACTAGAGAATATTTTCACTACCCTAGAAAGTTCCACTGTGTCCCTTTTCAGCAAAATGTCTCTCTCTACCCTGTTTCTAAAATTTCTGTCATTGTAGATTCAGTTCAGTTCAGTTGCTCAATTGTGTCCGACTCTTTGCGACCCCATGAATCGCAGCACGCCAGGCCTGCCTGTCCATCACCAACTCCCAGAGTTTACTCAAGCTCATGTCCATCCAGTCGGTGATGCCGTCCAACCATCTCATCCTCTGTCGTCCCCTTCTCCTCCTGCCCCCAATCCCTCCCAGCATCAGGGTCTTTTCCAATGAGTCAACTCTTTGAATGAGGTGGCCAAAGTATTGGAGTTTCAGCTTCAGCATCAGTCCTTCCAATGAACACCCAGGACTGATCTCCTTTAGGATGGACTGGTTGGCTCTCCTTGCAGTCCAAGGGACTCTCAAGATTCCTGTATTTGAACTTGAATAAACAGGAGCATACAGGATGTTCCGTTTTCTATCTGGCTCCCTTCACCCCACAATAATACCTAGAAGATTAATCCCTGTGTTAGTAGCTCCGTCTTTTTCATTGATGGGTGATATTTAACGGCTTGCTGGCTACTCACGATTGCTCTGTAGCTCTAAAGTCACCCTTCTTGCCTGCGGACTGAAACGGAAACTGGGCCCTTTAAATTTTCCCCTCGGTCAAACAGCAAGCTCAACCTCGGCCGGTAGTGGGCGCTGGAGAGGCGCACTGTGCCTAGCTCGCCCCGCCCCCTGGCTCCACGCGCGCGCAAGGGCCTCTGAGCACGTGCAGCGTCTCCCGAGCACGTGCAGCGTCTCCCGAGCACGTGCAGCGTCTCCCGTGCGCGTGCGCGTCTCCCGTGTGCGTGCGCGTCTCCCGTGCGCGTGCGCGGCGTCCCCCACCAGGTCTCTGCGGCCGCGGTGTAGCAGCCGGCGTCCCGCACCCCTCTAGGGGAGGTTTTGTCGTGGGGTGACTCTGGTGAGGCGCCTCCTGTGAGCAGCCCGTGTTCCATTCCTCAGGGCAGACTTCCGGTGAGTCCCCCGGGCTGGAGTTCTAGCAGGTTCCGCGGGTGTGCGGCGCGGATCAGCTTCCCGCCGGAGCCACAGGCGTGCCCCGTGGTGAGGCCTGGATGCCTGCGCTGGGGTGCGTGCGGGCACTGCTCTGGGGCTCTGCTTCAGCCCAGGGGCTTCTCCTGGGGGCGTTACTTCGGCTCAGGAGGGGGCTCTTACTTGGGGGCGCGGTCTCAGCTCTGGGTGGGAGGCCTTCTTTGAGCCGGGGCGCTCTCACCGTTGAGGGCTCTGCCTCAGCCTGGTGGGAGGTTTGTTTTCGGGGGCTCTCTGCTCCGTATTAGCCCCGGGATCAGGGTGCTCTCCTAGGGCTCTGTACCGGCCATGGTTTGGGGGGCTCTCTCTTTAGGGCTGTGCCTCAGTCCTGGGGGCCCTCTCTGCACTTCCACCAAAGCCCTGAGAGGCCCTTCCCTGGGGACTGTGTTCGCCCTGCGGTTCGGTGGTGGGCACTTTGAGGCTCAGTCGCGTTAGCCCTGCGGTTCGGTGGTGGGCACTTTGAGGCTCAGTCGCAGCGCCCTGGGTTGTGCCGCTGCTTGTTATAGCTGCTGTTCTCACATTAGCTGTGGTTCTCTCTATTAGCCAGGGTTTCTTGGCTCAGCCCCCTGTTACAATTTAATAATTCTTCATTTGAAACATTCCCTGTTAAAATCACTGTGTGATTTCTTTTTCTCAGTTGGACCCGAACCAATATAGAACTGGTTTCAGGAGAGATAACAGGAGATTGACCTGTAAATATGAGATTTATGGATTAGTTTCCTCGTGTCTTTGGGCTTGAGCATGAGCCCTTGCTAATAGGAAACGGAATGCGGGTAACCCAAGGCGTGTAGTGGCCATACAATTAATCGAGATACGACGCGTGGTAGAGTGAGATAAAGTGCCACTCAGGCACATTACTTGGGAGCCTGAGTGGTACTGCCCTTGACTGTTAGGGCAGTAATGATGGCTATAAGGACTGTGGGGTGGGGTGGATTCTTTGAAGGGCTCTTGAGTACTTAGAGAAAAAAAACAAACTCAGGTCCATTAACTGTCTTCTCATCTGGTGTGAGAACCAGAGAGCATCCATGACAGCCCCTTACAGAAGCTCTTATTTCTTGCAGCCCCAGGGCTGATACTGCTGAAAATCAAATAAAAAGTTTAATTGTGCTGGTTGCTGAATTATAACCACGGTTGAATTCACGTCTTGACAAATTGCTCATGTGGAAATTAGGGCATTAACTGGGAAAGAAGGGGGTCCTGAAACGTGGGGGTGGGGACGTCTGTGGGACCCAGGTGAAGCTGATGGTCTCAGACTCCCAAGTGGCTGTGAGCACCCCATGTGGGTTGTGGCAGTTTTCCTTCCAGTGTCTCAGGAGGCTGTTCTTCCTCTGCTTAAAAACCGGGTGATAGCCTCAGCGGGGGCAGGTACTTTGAAAGGAGATGCCTGTTTCCCTTAAGATTCACCATAACCAGCCTCTCTTGTCACTAGACTTTAAGGGTCAAATCTCAGTCCATCCCTTGGTGACTGGGACTCAATAGGACCAATGAGGGAAAATACAAAAGAATTGCTGCACTTTACTAATATATATCAGCAGAAACGTGGGAAACGTGTGTGGGAGTTTATTATAAGAGGTTTTGACCCAAGAGGGCAGGATATCACAGTGGATTGGGCTGAATTCATTGCTGTGGATGCCCTGACTAGAGATTCTGGGTTTGATTATCAGCATGTGCAGCGGAGGGTGGCTCTGACGGTTTACTTGGTTGACTCACTGAAATCTGGACTCAGTAGTACAGTTAATGGGGTTGTGATGTGGAAGCGGGAATTCAAGGGCTTGGGGAGACAGGAATGTTGGGCTGGATGTATTACATGAAACCTGCGGTTCCCAGATCCAAGTTGATACACAGACCCAGAAGCGCTCTGGAGGCCAGGTCCTGTGGAAGAAGGAGCCTGCATCATTGCCACAAGTGCTTGCTGTAAATATTCCTCCAAATCTGCCCCACAGGGACTGGCAGCCATTTATCAGAGTGGCTGTGCACTGAGGCACAGGAAATGCCCACATGGTTCTTAAATTACTAGGCACAGGCTCTGAATTCACACTAATTCCCAGGGACCTGCAGGGCCACTGTGGCCCATACGACAAAGTGGGGGCTTATGATGGGTAAAAGAAAGAGTCTTGGCTCCCGTCTGACTCACAGTGGACCTGTTTGGTCCATGGACGCACCCCGAGGTTATTTATGCAGTTTCTGAATGAATACGTGGAATAAGCGCACTTTGCAACTGTTTTGTTTTCTCGCCTATCCAGTTATATTTCACATGCAAGTTTTTGGAAGCTAGCTTTAAAGTATAGTCTTTAGGCAACAATATTCTGTGGAACTGTGACTGAATTTGAGGCATACAGTCTTATGACTGTGGGGCTGTTGGTTTCATTTTATGGAGAGAGTGAGAACTTTGCTTGTAAGGATAGCTGTGTCTTCTTAGGTGGAGATACAGAGTTGTGTTGTGATACAGGAGTTCGGTTCCACATGAGAAGGGCTCACGTGGAGGCCGACTCATCAAAGAGATGGGTATGCTGGATAAACTCACCCTTCTTGGCTGCGGGCTGAAAGTGAAGCTGGGCCCTTTAAATTCGCCCCCTTCCACCCCCGGCCACAGGGCAAGCTCAGCCTCAGCCTGTAGAGGGCGCCGGAGAGCCGCTCGCCCTGCCCCGCCCCCTGGCTCTGGCGCACGCACGCGCGGGCCCCTGAGCACGTGCAGTGTCTCCAGTGCGCGTGCGCAGCGTTTCCGCGCCGGGTCCCTGCAGCCGCGGTGTAGCCGGCACCCCCCGCATCTCTTTAAGGGCGGTTTTGCAGTGCGGTGACTCTGGTGAGACGCCTGGTGTGAGCAGCCCGTGTGGCGTTCCTCAGGGCAGACTTCCGGTGAGTCCCCCAGGCTGGATTTCTAGCAAGTTCCGCGGGTGTGCGGTGCTTTCCGCCCGAGCCTCAGGCGTGCCCCTCAGTGAGGTCTGGGTGTCCACGCTGGGGCGAGTGTTGGGCATTCGTCCGTAGGGGTTCTCCTGCCGTCTTGGGGAGCTCCTCTTTGGGCGCGCGCTCGTCCTGGGGGAGGGGGCGCTCTAGGGGGCTTTGTTCGGTTCAGGTGGTGGTGGTGGAGGCTGTCCTCGGGGTCTCTATGTTAGCCCTTGGGGCGGGGTTTCCTTGGTACTGTTCTCTATAAAGTTCTCTTTCCTTCTTTCTAGCTAGGCCTTGTTAATGCAGCCTGCTGTTACAGTTGATAATTCTTTATACGGAACTTGCTCTGTTCAGATGCGGTGTGCTTTTTCCCTCCTGTCGGTTGGAAAGCGATATACGTTGTACGTATAGATCATAAGTTTTTTTATCCATTTTCATGTTGATACTTCCAATTTAGGGCTCTTATGAGTAATTTGCCATACATATTGTCAAATGGACAAGATTTTCTGTGTGCTGTGTTTTCATATTGCTTGTATAGATACCTTGAATCAGTTCCATTGTGAACGCCAGGCTAATGGACTTTTAACTTTGGAGGGTGCTGAGGAATTACTGGGAGTTTTATGGTGGTGTTGTTTTTTTTTTTTTTTTGTAGCAGTGATGGGATTCATTGTGGGCCTTAGAAGGATTGCTTGCCCCTGTGTGAGTTGTGGGGGCACCGACCTTCAATTCCCTGAGATGAAGGTGGCAGCTCAGCTTAGTGGCTCTGGCACCTGCTCTGTCTTCTATTTGTCAGTCTGTGAGATGGGAATGTTCTCATGCATCTACAGAATTGTTGGCAGGACTGAGTGGGATGATGCCCATGGGGCCTTTGGCATGGGGCTGGCATGGGGTAGATGTGCCTGGGGCATTGTAGCCAAAATGCTGGTTTTGTTGGGTGTTTAAGCCGGGGTTTTCCGGTTTCTCCCTGGCACGAGCTCCCATGTGTCCAGAGATGGAGCCTCGAGGGGCAGACAAGGGTCTCAGCACCCTGCCCGGAGGCACCTCTGGGCCTAGAAAAGGCAGAGCTCCGCTGCCCACTGCTGATCAGTGCCTGGCACTTTTCAACACCTTCTTGTGGCTTCCCTCTGGGGAGTGGACCCACACGGTGGCCTTGGGTTCTGGGCTCTTTGCCCAGCCCCTTGACAATCACCTCAGCTGGCACCCTGCCAGCCTGAGCCCCGAGCCTCCGCACCCCAGCAAGTCAAACGGCCATGATTAGTCAAATAAAATTTCCATCTGTTGAGGAATTTACAAGAGTTATTACTGGCTATAAAACCGATCGGAGGAGAAGGATGGCTCTAAGGGGGTAAGTGCCTCTAATTGTGCGGTAGTGACTTTTAAACAAGGTTGCAGATGTTCTTATCACAGCGATCGAGATCCCGGTGGTGGGCCAGGCTGGGGGGCTGGGCTATGCAGGCCTCCTTCACTGCAGAGGGAGGAAGAAGAGGGCCTTCTGCATTCGAACCTTGGGGGTCGTGGCATTTCAGCATGATCCTGGATGCACGCTGCAGGCGCTTAATGAATGCACATTTCTGCTTTCTCTGCTACCCTCCGTCTTCCTCTGGGGCCTGAGGCAGGCTCCTGGTCAGAGGCAGCAGTCTTTCTGGGCCAGGGTCCCGCTGTAATAGACTCCGTGTGACCAGCCGTGTATAACACCCCTGGGCTTCCATAGCTTCATCTCTGAAATGGGACAGTTAATTACCAAGCATCCGTCCCAGAGGAACACCGAGAGGAAAGGTGTTTGAGAATGTGGGCCCAGCCTTGTTCTCTTATAATATACGGCTCTGCTCTGGTGCCTGGCTCATCTTATCCCCTCTGTGTCTGGGGTTGGAGGTGACATCTTTCGTCTTGGATGGGGAGGTTCGAGGTGGCCGAGGGACTCCTCTGAAGTCACCGGGATGCCAGGGGCTCCTGAAGTCCAGCCCTCTTCCTTCGTCCTGCCTGAGAGACTGAGAGCAAGACTGTGCTTTGGGGGCAAACTCGAGTTCCTGCTGGCTGGGGTGAGCCGGCGAGATGGGCGGTCTTGCTGAAAAGGATTCAAACAGCACTGAGGGTGGAGATAAATTACCTGACCCAGAGAGGGTGGTTCCCAGGGTCCAGACCCCTAAAGGCAGGGCTTGGGCCTGCGACCTGAAGACACACAGTCTCTGGCCTGCTAGGCCAGAGGTCTCTCCGTGGTCACTCTCCGTTCCTCCCTGGCCTTCCCTGCCCACCTTCCAGTCAAGTACAAACTCGCCTGCCCCTCCCTCTAGGGCCTTTTAAAATCGGGGGCACACGCCTGGGCCTATAGCTGGCTGCGCTTTCTTTCCTTAGAGCTGGTTGTCAAATAGCTGACACCTGCGGCCAGGAGCCTTCGGGACTCCACCCTTGCTGGCCCTGGCTCCCCTCCGGACAGGTAACTCTGGCGCTGAGCCCCCTTCCCTGCCGGGCACTTTGAGGGGGACCTCTTAGTTGGAGTGTCTGGAGTCCGTTGGGGATGGAGGGGCCGATGCTGATGTGCGGAGCCGAGCCCTGTGGTGGGGCCTGTCCTCAGGGACGCCTTCTCCCCGGGTACCGCCTCCCCCCACCAGACTGGGTGTTCCTGCAGCTTGTTCCTTTGGGCCGCTGGTGGCTGTGGAGGGGGGAATCCGCCGCGCGGGGCTTCCGGCTCAGCGGCAGCTCCGTGATCTGCTGTGTGACCCCGGGGCTCGGTCTCCCATCTCGGGCGGGGAAGGTCAGCCTGCCTTGTGGGCCCCTTGTGAGTGTGCGGGGGAGAAACTGCTGGCAGGAGCAGGTCTCCAGTTCCCTGTTTCCCCTTCTGAGCACGCGAGGACATCTCTGGGGAGGGGAGGCTTTGGGGCTGGAGTGAGGATCTAGAACTTTTCCCTGGTACTCCACTAGGGGATGAAAGACCCTGTGATGGGGTAGGCGCCAGGGAAAGGCATTGGTGCCTGTGAACTTTGAATAACAGTGGGGTTTGGGTCTTGGCATGAACTTCCATTGTGCTGATGACTTCATCCCCAGAGGGGTCTCAGGGTGTCTGAAATGGTGGGGGGGGGCGCTTTGTCAGTGCAATGCCTGTGGTGGCCCTGGCTCGGCCCTTGGCACACGCCTATGCCCTCATTTGTGCCCCACCTAGTCCCCTTCCATTCCCCCCTCCCCCCAACTCCTACTCCTTCTGGCGTTCATATAGCAACACAGCCATCATCACTCCTTTTACAAAGGATGAGACAGGCCTAGGGGCTGGGGCTGCGGTGGAGAGAGTTGGTTTCAGGCCTGGGAGCTCGGCCTTCCTGTCTCTCTAACATACAGTGTTTACCTACTGAATGTGCCCGCTGATGCCCGATGCTGTATAACAGGGCAGGAGAAGCCAGCCCATCCGGTGCCCCTGGTGGGTGGGGAGACGGGCAGTGAACAAGCCAACCCAGGCGTGGAAGGATTGCAGGTTACAGCAGCGCTGAGACCACCAGAAGTGGGTGTCGTGGATGAGGGGTGGGGCGGGGGGGCCTCCGCGTTCCCTCAGTCACACTGCATGTTCCTGCCCCCATGGTTCTCCCATCTCAACCTGGGGAAGGACGGGCTTGGCGGTGGGAGCTCCCGCCTGGAGCCTGGCCACTCCGAGCCCCTCCGGGTCCCCTCCCCACCTCCCTTCCCTGGGACGATGACAGTGTGGGACCTCTCGCCTGGAAGGAGAGTCTGGTGAGTCCCATCTGGAAAGGATGGTTTGGAGGGCACAGAGAATCCCCCTCAGGCTTGGAGAGGCTTTTCTAAAGGTCTGATTTCATCTTTTGGTCCCAATTTCTCATTAGCTGGAGGCCTTCTCCGGGGTTTCTGGGCTCATGCCCCGGCCTTGGGCACTGGAAGGCTTAGAGCAAAGTGTTCCTTCATCTTACTCCTCTGTTTTCCCTTCTGCCCACCACCCCCTGCCCCAAAGAACAGGGGGCTGGGGGCTTCCAGCTGAGAGGTGTAGTGGGTGGAGGGCGTCCGCCGTCAGGAAACCCGAGTTTGAGGCAGAGCTCTGTGCTTTACCAGCGGATGGCCCAGAGAGTCTGGGCCGTCGCTTCTGTCTGCTAAGTGGGAGCATGAGCTCCCATCGCGCCAGCGGGTTAATGAGACAGTGACTTCTCTCGACTGTCTGTCACGATGACTGTGATTTTCGGCGATGTGTTCCGGGTCCAGTAGCAAAGGACGGAAACAGAGCCACGAGGCATGGAGCCAGCTGAGGCTCTGGAGGCCAGCGGCAGGGCTTGCCGGGTTACCAGGGCCCTCGATGTGCTCACGGCCTCTGGCTGGCCCCTCACTCAGGTGGCCGGCTTTGGGCCCCTCTGTCTTTCCCTCAGAGTCTGGTGCTCATCCCGTTTTATTGGTGTCCTCTCCAGCTCTGGATTTCCCGTCTTCTTTTTTGAAAATTGTTTTTTATTTTTGGCTGTGCTGGGTCCTCGTCGCTGCGCAGGCCTTTCTCCGGCTGTGGCGAGCAGGGGCCGCTCTGCAGTTGCGGTGCCCGGCCTGCTCCCTGCAGTGCTTTCTCTGGCGGGGCGCGGGCGCTCGGGCACAGGCCCAGCACTAGGGGGTCACGGGCTTAGCTGCTCTGCGGGCTGCGGGGTCTTTCTGGGTCAGGGATCAGGTCTCCCTGATCAGTCTCCCGCACTGGCAGGAAGCTGCCCTGGGTTTCCCTTCTTGGCCAAAGGAAAGAGTGAGGCCCCTTTCAGTAGGAGGCAGAGAAAGTATTAGTCACTCAGTCGTGTCTGACTCTTTGCGACCCCGTGGACTGCAGCCTGCCAGGCTCCTCTGTCCATGGGATTCTCCAGGCAAGAATCCTGGAGTGGGTGGCCATTTCCTTCTTCAGACCCAGGGACGGAACCTGGG